TAAAAATACATGTTGGTTAAAAATAAAGGTGCATATTGTCTCTCCTTCCCTCCTTCGTTCTCACTGTCCACGATATCCTGGGTCGAGGCTCAAGTACAAATCGATCGATTTGTTCTAAAGATCTTCCTTTCATCATCTCCGAAAAGGAAGAAGCAGGGGGAATTTCTGGGAGCAAGTTATATTTTAGCTGACGTTTCAAAAGCCTTCTCGGTTCCATCGTCAGAGCGTGGTAACTGTTCTCCTACTGGTGTCAGTAAGTGTGTCCAACCGCTAGCCTGATGCCTGATGCCCACGTGTCAATCGATTATAGCGATCGATTTTTGGTGGCTGCTTGAATTGCTCACGCCCTCGCGGGTGCCTCCGTAAGGTGTGTGCCTCCTGAGCATTTCCACCTTCTTCGCTAGTGGCTACCGGCTGTCGGCCCTGCGTATCTTCCTTCGCCCGACCTCTTGCTCCGTTCTGAGCAGATGTTAGCCATGCGCATTCTCTACTTCAGAAGGAGCCTCCTCATTGGTCACAAGCGCAGCTTTGTTAGAACTCTTATCGCAGGGGGTTAAGTAAGTTAAACCCAAGCAACCGTGATCTTCCGACCATGGTTACTTAGTAGAGGTTAGTGGAGGCCAGAAATAGTAGGACTAGTTCATTGTGTACACAAAGGAACAAAGACTAGATGGAAAGTGTTTTGACCTTGGAGCACACGTCATTCCGCTGGAACGCCAAGGCCCTAAATGATGCCTGGCGGCCGAGGGTGGGGAAAAGGGATATGTTCGAGTGGTGTTTGGGCAGCCGTGAGAACCTAGACGCACGTGTGTGTGTGTCCGAGTGGAAGTAGGTCAAGTCTCTGCAGGTCAGCGCGTCTGTAAGCGCTGACTGAGTTATTGGATGAGGCAGCTGGCCTTGGACAATGACGCCGAACAAACAATGGAGGGCGGTAGCCGTAAACGACCACTACACCCTCTTCCAACGCGTTCAGGCACACAGCAGTGACGAAAGTGAGAAATAGAATTGTCAAATGAACAAACTCTTTCGATTTATGGCAAGAGAAGGTTCCTTTTTCAAATGTATTTATAAGTATTTCTGGTATTGGATTACAATGAATTTCAGATTATATTTCTTACATCATCCCCGGAAGAGTGATAGGAAGTAGAGACGATTTCTCGGACCAAAGTGTATTCTGGCTGACGTTTCAAAAGATCGCTCGCTTCCATCGTCAGAGCGTGGTGTCTGATCTCCTGTTCGCGTCAGATAAATTTGAACGACCATGCATGCCCTATTTCAGGCCAATGACAAGATGGCCAGATTGCTGGTAGGAAGTTGGTCGTCGACTGGCACAATTAACAGAGTCATAGACCTTCATCCCGCCTACCAAGCGCTCCACAGAAGGCTAA